GGAATATTCACATAATGGAACATTATACAGCAGTCAAATCAAATCAAGTAATGCACAGAATCATGTGTATTGCACATTACTCTTTGTACAAGGAAGGAAGGGAAATAAAGTCTATTCTTTTCCAAGCATGTACTTAAAAAACACTGAGAAGATATAAAAAAAGGAAGGTACTTTTCTTAGTGTCTCCCTGAGACAATGGTACAGAGGCTAGAGTGTAGGAAGAGCAACAGAAAAGAAACTTTACTTCATAGCTTCTTTTTTAATGTTTCAGTTAATAAATAGGTTACCTACACACACACACACACACACACACACACACACACACACACACACACACACACAATGCTAACCTCCTTAATCCCAGTAAGAATTAAGGACTAAAAGAAGGATATAACAACTAGCAAATGGTGGAGTTCAAAGCAGCACATCTTCCAAGGCGATGTGGTGATGGGAATCGCTAGCCACCAGGTTCGAGTATGAACCTGGATGCTGATTGCAAAGGCCATTCACAGGGCAGCACATGCATAATCTTAGCTTTCTCTGTGTATGAACATGGATAACTAGACCAGAAAGACACATGAGAACGAGAGCAATGATTCCCTACAGGTGAGAAGACTGTAGGTGAGATCATGTCCACAGGGAGCACATCATCTCCTCTGCAGTGAGAGGCACAGGTGGGATCATGTCCACAGGGAGCACGTCATCACCTCTGCAGTGAGAGGCACAGGTGGGATCATGTCCACAGGGAGCACGTCATCACCTCTGCAGTGAGAGGCACAGATGCTCCTTTTCATTTCTCATCAGGCTCCCAGGACAGAAGGTATGTACCACTCTTTCCTCTCCTCTGTCACCTCTTCCTGGCTCCCTGAATATAGCTGCTAGCTACCCCAAGACCACCAGAAAAGGGCAAGAGCACTGCAGACACTTCCTCATGTCTGAGTGGCTGAGCAGACACCCATTTCTAGATTTTTCCTTATGGATGAGTCATACCTCCTGTATGTTTCAGACAACCTAAATTGGGTTTTCTGTTACTTGCCGCTGAAGGCATTCTGCCACACTTAATACATAATATATATTATGGTAACATTTTCACTAGCAATAGTCACTAATCCACTGTTAATAAATAAACCGTGGTAGCAGATTAACACACTAAATAATATATGATTTCTTTAGGCTGAACAGCCAACCCACCATGTTTGTTTGGATCAACAAGCAGAGCCTGGAGGAACGATGTGACTAATTGTCCCACCAGCCTCGGGCTTTATAGCTCTCTTCTGAAGTTCCTGCAAACCAGGGCTCAGGGAAAACAGTTAAAAGAATTCTAAGTCTATAGACAAGGCCTGCCAGCTGTGCAGAAAAAGGAGGCACATAATCCTGAAACTTACAGTGTGGCCCAGAATCTCCATTTCTAGGAATCTATGCTAAGAAAAGAACCACGGCTATGAAGACATTTACATGCAAATAGTCTTCGTTAATATGTACCAGAAAGAAAGAAAAAAAAAGATGGAGGAAACCTAAAAGCTTAACATCTGAGAGAGGTTAAGAAATGATGCTGTGTTCTAACAAAGAAGTACTTTGGAAACAATAAGGATGTGTCAAAACAGACCTAGTACACTGCTGAGTGAAAGGGACCCATGTACACATGAAACGCAAAGACCAAACAAGTGTCAATGGCTGCTTTTAAAGACAGAAAGGGCTCGAACTGAAACCCTCAGTGGGACCAGACGAAGGGGAAATGCCAATGCATCTTATTTAGAGAATATTTCTGCAGTTAAAAAAGTCTAAAATAAGTTTGCTTTCTTATGTGTTAAGACAAGTTAGCTGGTTAGCAAGTTAGTTATTTTAACAGCATTGTTTTATAGAATATTCTGGACCCTCTGATCAAAATGTTGACCTCACAGACACCAACATTGTCTAATGTTTGCCCATAGATTCAATGGAGTTAGCAAGAAATAATTTATTTTTGTGTTTTAAAAATAGACTGAAGCCAACAGCTGCAAGCTATGCTATGAAGACGGATAGAGGAATTTGATGTTTACAAGTGAATCTGCATTACACACATGCAATATGTTTTCTTTAATTCCATAAATACAGTTTTGATGTTGCCAATTTGAGAAAAACATTGACATTTCCTTAAATAAGCCTCGTCTGCATTGAAATTCACCCCCTTATTTGAAACTAAGTGATCTTAAAACAATAAAAATGAATGTGCTATGTCACTGAGGCAAAACAAGTCCATTTACACACTTGCCCTCTCCATCAGACCTCATCAGACAGAGAAAGCAGCCAGCATGCAGGCCACCCTTCTGATGCCAGAGAGATCGAGCTCCCTGGTCAGATGACCTGGAGGCCCACCACTTGCCAGCCGGTGCCCTTGGGCATTTAATTAGCCTCCCTGGGCTTCCGCTGTCTCTCCTGTGAAGCAGTCATAACCAGAGCCTCTGAGCAGAGTCCCTACGAGGATGACTTGCGAAAACATACAAAGGTCTTCTTTTCAGGCCTGGCCCACAGTAATCTGGTAAAAAGAAGGTGCCCTAATTTATTTTCTATACCTATGTGGAGACAGAGATTTTAAGGGGGCCTCAAGATTCTGCATAAGAGTTAATGTTGGATCTTGATCCCCCAGTACTGATTTGACATGATTTACTCTATAGAACTTAAAATAAATGTGAACCTTAGGACAAATCTCTTAGACCATATGTCCTTTTTTTCAATTCTTTCATATTTAAAGTATTTTGATTAATGATAAAAATAATCCCCCAAATATTTGCTATGTATTTAATGCCTGCTGCATACCATGAAGTACCCTATGTGGTTTCATATATTTTCTTATTTAATCCTCAGACTAACCAATGATAGGGGATGTCTTACTATGATCATTTTCAGATGAGGAAATTAAGGTATAAAGATACGGAAACATGCTATCAAAATACAGACATAGTAGGCAACCATATACTGCATACATGACATATAACAAAACAATCTACATTCATATTTTCTCATACAATAACAATGACAGCAATTACAATATCACTACATTATCAATAAATCCTATGCTCCCCAAAATACAGCACTTGATGCTACACTTCAGAGAAACATCTTTTCCTTGTTTAGAACACCCCTGTACTCTTCTCATGCAGTAAGACAGCGAAGGACTTCTGTGGGTTATCAGGAGACACAGATCTACCCAGGTATCTACAGTTGCCCTTCTGCAGACCACGAGGAAAGGGCTCATTCAAGCCCAGAGCTCCTCCACCTGTGTTACTGGGTGTTGGAGAGTGATGGGATTTCAGAATAATCTGTTCCAAACTCTGGCTTCACTAAAGTGGAAAGTGAGGCCTAACAGGAGGAAGACACACATGTCAAGTGAGAGCCAGAGCTGGACCCAAGGCCTCCTAGCTGCAAGTGTTCTGCTCTGTGGTGACAGAGGAATGCTGCCCATACTGAGTTCCCATACTTAGTCAGTAGGAAAGCAACACCAGGCCTGGCCACATGCAAGTGAGGGCTGCAGGGTGTATTTCCAGGCACCTTCAGAGCTCATCAGGGTGTAGAGAATCTGTGGCAAAGACAAGCTGCACTGTGACCTTTTGTGATCTGTCTGGACCCCATTCCCAGTGCCCTTATTCTGCAACAGAATCCAAGATCAAGCAAGAAGTGTCTGCTCAGTTACATGGGTCTCTTTCACAGACAAGACACAATATACTTAGCTCTTGCAAACATTATTTGAATCAGCATAACACCTGAATTTTTAAATTAAATGTACATCTTTCTTATTTATGTAGTAGATAGAAATAGCTTGCATCATAGAGAATTTTTTAAATAGAGGTCTGAGAGAGCTGAATTAAAAATGCATCCAGCATTATGTAATCCTTGAAAGATACAGTTGTTTACTCTGCTTTGATTTCTGAGCTTTCTCTTTGATGACAAATATTAATATTTATCATTTTTCTGGTGCTGGACTAATGAGAATCTTAAGTGTTTATGAGGAGGCATTTAAATATTACAGTGCTGCAGATGTGTTTATTTTCTGATTTATATTCCTGTCTGTAGCATCAACCAGCATTTATTTTTTATGCTGAATCCTAGGTGGTGTTCATTGACATTTTCAGTAAATTCTACATGCCCAGAACTGATAGTCTCTTTATTTACTGGATGATAAAGTGAATATGAAATTTTACCAAATAACACTGTACTATGAGCACAGCTGACCTATGATTTTCAATGTGAAAACTGACAGGCATGTAACTATTAACCAGCAAGTGTAGGCAGACAGGTTTAACAATCCACATTCTCTATCAGGTAAAATTCACTGAGTGCTGTGTCAGGCACTTCCTATATGACTTACATCCATCCCCTTGGTAGTCACAACACCTCTAAACTTAGTGCTGTTATCATCTCTGTTTACAAACATTGTCCAGCTCAGAGAGGTTGTGTACTTTGCTCAAAATGGCACAATAAATGAGAAACACAGTCAGAGAAGTCAGTCTTCAGAACAAGGCAACAGAGATGCTTCTTAAGACTCCCACATCAGTGGTCCAGCATTGAAAATTGCTGTTATCTGTTCAGCATAAATAATCCATCTGCCAGGAAAAACAATTGCCAGGATGGACAACCCTGACTTTCAGATCTTGATGGTAATAGCAAAGCATAAATCATGCATTTGTCTGTGCATGAAGACAAAGGATAAACAGGACAGCAGTGGCTGCCCTCATGGAGTGAGAGGGAAGCAGACTATTCATATCATAAGCCAGTTCTGACCCTTGACACAGGAAGGAAACGGGGCTGTGCAAGTTCAGAGAAATGGCAAGAATGACTCCTTACCCCATGCCCCATGAAGGTAAAATCGATTGGCCAGAGAAATAATTCATAGCAGTGTAGACAGACAACACAGACATAAACTGGGGCCCTGTAAAGTTCAACAAGGAACTTAAGTTTAGGGACCAGCAATGAGGATATGGTCACGGAAAACAGCCACTGCTTTTGCCATTTCATAGACTTACCTCCTGGAGCAGACAGAGGTTCTCATTGAGACATCATAGGTAAAATAAAGGCTGGTGTTTGCTGTATGCTTGGATTTTTGTTTTGTTGTTGTTTGTTTGTTCACAGATCAGAAGAAACTGAGGTCAATTAATGGCTAATGACTCCATCCATGATGACTCCATCCATGGCGACTCCATCCATGGCGACACTAAGTCACTTTTCTGCCTTAGAAGTGGTTTTCCAAATTCTCAAATAAGGAAGTCTAGTGAGATGAATCCAGTGAGGGCTGTAAAGCTCTGTTTTCAGGGTGTCTTAGAGCCATGATCAAAACAACATATCTCTCCTTCCTTCCATCAACAGATTCTGAGGTCTTCCCTCATCCTGTTCTTCCCATCCATCTGCATCCCACCCCTCCAGCAAGGCTCTTTTATTGATTTTTGTGGCCATATGGAAGGGAAGTCAGACAGGAAGGACAAACATGTGCTGCCCCCCTGGAGGCAGAAGCAGGTGGAATAGACACTGAGCAGAGGCGGGTGGAGGAAATGAAAACAACCTGGTTGTACATATGGAGCTGAATGTTCAATGAGAGCATTCACAGAAGAGCGGCCTGTGGAGATGGGAGGCAGTACAGGACATCAGCGAGGAACAAAACTGATGTCCCAGCAACAAGAAAGAAAAAGAAGTCTAGGAGAAGATGCTGGGTGGAGAAGATGGGCAGATGAAGAAAACCTAGGCACCAAGAAGCAAGTTCCAGGTATAGCTTTGAAGTCGGGGTTCTGTTACCCAAACTCTGGGCTTCAATCTCAGGCCCAACCTTATATAGCCACCCTGTCAATCTCTACTAACCACAGAAGCCTCCTTTAAGCATGGCAAGTTCTTTCCCATCTAAACAACTGGTAAGGCTGTTCTCCTGCTGAGAACACCATTCTGCAAGCTGTTCAAATGGCTGGCTCCATTTCATCCTTTATGTGAGTCTCTGCTCCATATCCCTAGCTGCTTTATCTCAACAGGACCCCCAAATCCCTGTTGGTTGTAGTATTAAGGCAACTCTATGTAATTAAAAGGGAGGTGTATTTTGTGGGGTAACTTACAAGTGAAGGGATAGGTTTCAGGGTCTGGGAAAGGTGTAGTGCAATCCAGCGGTATTCTCTGGAAAACTCTGCTCGGTCCACCTCCAGCGTCCAGGATCCAGGAACCAAGAGAGCCAGCACATCCAGATCTTGGGTCTTGAGGGCTCCTGTCCCGGCCCCGCCTTGTGAGCATGACAGTTACCGATGCCTCAATGGAGGTAGCACTTCCAGGTCAAAGCTGGAACAGCTACCCACTACAAGTCCCCTCTCATCACAGTCCTGTGTACTTGTCCTTCTTGGACTTGAGTTGTTTTTTTTTTTTTTAACATTTTCTGCCTGTTTATTTCCTATCTCTGCCACAACTCTCTATCTGACTGTTATATCCATACCTAGCACTGTATCTCACTCACAGAAGCTTCACAACATTCTTAAGTAGTTCCCATTAAAACCCCTATTTTAAGGATGAGGAAATTGAGCCTGAGCCAAGAAACCAGTTCAAAGTCATGCAGACCCGTGGATTGTGTTCAGTGAATCTGGATACCTGAGCACAAAAAGAGTGAAATGTAAAATGTTTTAATGATTACATTTATCAGGTGCTTACTACACAAAAGGCATTGTGTTAACGTTTTATTAGTTATTTTTGCAGCACTAACAAAAGGCCCAACAAACACCAAAAGGGAGGAAGACTCACTCCAGCTCACTGTTTCCGAGCATTGTGAGAGGGAAGGTAGAGCAGGGCACCTCAGGTCACAGAGGTAAGGTGTACTGAAGGCTGTTTACATCCCAGCAGGCAGGAAGCAAAGAATGGCACCAGAGCTAGGGGTAGGACACCTACCAGCAAGACCCTTCCTCCTAAAGGCTCCACACTCTCCCAAGCTAGTGCCAGTAGCTGAAAAGCAGGCATCCAAAACATAATGCTGTGGAGACATTTAGATTTGGACCACAATTACCACCAAATTCAGACCTATTAATAAAGTGTATACCACTCTATCCATCTTATAGAGAATAAGACCTACAAATTGAAACAGCTTGCTCAATAGTTCTTGACCTATTATATAATAAAGACAGATAGGCACACACACAGAAAGACAGATGAGTAGATGGCTAGATAATAGATTTCTGAATTATCAACAATTCTTCCTCATTACATTAAAACAGAAAAATAAACTCATAGACTCCATAAAGATCTAGAACTTGGTTATTTCAGGTGAGGACCATAGACTTCAGTATGAGCAACGACATAGACTTTGCTGAAAACGCAGCTGCTTCTGGCCTCGCTGGGACCCATGCATACAGCTCCAGCCAGCCCTTGACCCACAGGAGTCAGACCCAGCTGTTCAATCTGCACTAGGAAGCCAAGCCCAGCCAACTCCTCTAGGCCAGGGAAACCTTGGCCTACTGCCTCCTGGAAGTTCAGGAGACCAAAGGAAGCCTAAGCTTAGAGAAAGCTTTATCCCCTGCTCCACAGAGCCAAGAGGGGGCCTCAGCTGCAGATTCATCTGTGGCCATTGGCTAATAAAGCTGCCTGGCCTCTCTTTTACCTCCTAAGCCAGAAGAACTTAGCAACTAGGATTTCAAACTGCAGTAGCCACCTGTTGGTTTTATGCCTCAGTATCATTAACCCTCTGCTCAAAGTATCCCATCTCCATATAATCAGACCATCTCTGTATTCAAACACACAAGCCATGTACACGAGGCAATCCTGCCTGCCCAGCTTCCTTTGGGCAAACCTCTCATCTCAGAGCTAGAGATATGCTCCCAGTCTGGCCCATCCCAGCATGCCTCACTCTGGAGACGGGAACAGTTCTAAGTGGTAGGCTCATAACCCAAGCTGGACCACCTTCAAGCTGTATTAATTATTTGGATATTGTACTCAACTGGATAAATTTCAGCTAATAAAAACAGAGTCTCTAAATTTGATGGTAAAATCTGGAAACCTTAAAATATGTTACATTTGGTATGTCATATATTAAGGTTAGAATGTGAAGTTAGCCACGTTCTTTTCATATTTTAACCCATGTGGACTGTTTTCTAAGCAACAGTTTACAGCGTGGGATACAAATAGAATGACCTACATGCCAGGTGATTCAGGAGAAGGGCTTGGCACCTCTCTTGGACAGTCAGATTTTAGACACTCTTATTAATACCCAAGAAACACTATTTTTGAAAACAAAATTTGTCATTTGGCTCACAGTTTCAGAGAACTGAGTAGACGATCACTTGGCTCTGCATTCTGAACCTCTAATAAGACAGAAGAACACTCACAGGAGTGTGTGGCCGAGGAGGCTTTTCACATGATAGCAACCAGGAAGCAAAGACCGAGAAGAGGGGCAGCTAGGGACCACATAAGCCTTGAAAAGCACCTCTTCATGTCTGCATTGCTCCAGCTGGGCTCCACCTCCTCAAGTTCCCACTGTCTCCCAGAAATGCTACCAAAGGAAGAGTCTATCAAGAGATAAAACCACTGATTAGGTCAGAGCCCTCAAGATCCTCCCTTCCCTGGAGTCAGTCAGTTGGTAACCAATCCCATAGCATAGGAGCCTTTGGGGGAAATGCATCACACCTAAACCAGAAGAGTACCTTAGCTTCCACTGTCCTAGAATATAACCACCCATTTTCCTAACATGTCCCCACATGATTAAGAGTGCCACTGTCTACAGCAGACCATCCAAAGAGTGGGCCTAATTCAATGAAAGGAGAGCTCCTTCTTACGGTCTAGTAACTAACAAGCCAACCGAATTTCGTTTATACAGACGACTGAAGAAGCAAAGTGCTTCCCTTCCTGCTCATTCACTCACCTTGCTGCTCTTCGTCCATGTGCATGTGTCGTCATCGTCCTCTGTCCTGTGTGTCCTCCCTCCCCCTCCTCTCTGCAGGCTAATTCCTGGGAAGGTGAACAGCAATGGCCAGTGCTCCAGGGTTGACACCGCCCTTGTTTTAGCAGGGTCCACCTCTCTCCTCCACCTGCCCTAAGGGCTCTGCTTCTGTGTATAAAATCCTGCTGCCATTGCTTACACAGCTCCTAATACAATGGGGAGACTATCCTTAGGGGAAGGCAGAATCCAAAGACAAAGACAAAGTTTTACTGTCATTGTTTTATTTTGGTGGTTTTTTTCTTTTCTCAAAACTGAAGACATGGGAAGAAGACCTCAAGCCTTGCAGAAAATGAAAATTTTGTTCTTACCACATACCACAAACTTCACTGATTAAATGACTACAGGCTGTAATCTCCTCCAACTAAAATACGAATGCATTAAACTTCATAGGGAGTACTGACACCTCAACATTATCTATGATGGTTTTTAACTCCAGTAACTGTGAGTCTGAGAAACTGCAAAATACATTGAATTTTAATAGAATTCTGATTGCTAATAGAAATAGGCAAACCTGAAAAAAGGAGGGGGTGGGGATACTAACAAACACACAAAACTTTACCTCTCTTTACTTTCCAGAATACAGTCAACTGTTCTGTCTGTGAACTTCCTTAGCACTTCCTCAATTTTCTGTTATTCATACTTAATTCATCATTAAAAGGAAGCATCAGCCATGACTCTAAAAATGCCATAATTCTTAAATATGTGATGCTGAACTCTTAAGTCAAACGGTAACAACTTTCTTCCTGAATTTTTCTTTTCTCTCTATGGAGTCAACACACCAGGAAAATAAAGTTACTACATTGTAAAATAGCCTCCCACTGAGTAAAGAGGCTCAGGAAATGCTGGCAAATATAATTATGGTGTTGACGAATATACATTCAGGCCAAAAAAATGCTCCTAGCTGCTTGATAAGGTTTTAAATATAAATATTCAAACATAAGTTCGTGTATTTTCTATGAGAGAAAGGGGGCTTTTAAAAAGAAAGAGTTCTAGCAGTGATCAGAATCTATCTCCCCCAAATACACCACCTTGGAAGAGCGGCTACCTGTGCAACGGCAGTTAATCAGAGCCCAGGGAGAGAGGACTCTTCCAACACCTCCCCAGCTAGCTGAAAGCAGGGCATACATTCCCTTTGTGAAGGAGATGTGTTTGTAAAGGTGTGCCTCTCTCCCTATCAAAAAGACAGTGACTATGTGCACAGCAAACCTTGTGAACCAACCTTCATTTCCCATCCATTTCCACAGCACCTCCTCCCAGCTCACCCTGCCACCCATCTCCACTCCTAGAGCACATCACCTCTTCCTCTGTTCTGTCCTATGTAAGGCCCAGCACCGCCTCCTCTCTGGAGTGTTCTTTCTCTAAAGTCCTCCACATGCATACTTAATAAAAAGCTTCCCCTCTTCAATCTTTCCATTGTACGCTTAAGTTTTAGGGCCCTAGAAGC